ACAACTTTATCATGCTCACGATGCTTTATCATGCTTTATCATGCTAGGGAACCGGTCGGCCGAGCGGACAGCACGCTGGACTTGTGATCCTGTGGTTCCGGGGTCGATCCCGGGCGCCGGCGAGAAACAATGGGCAGAGTTTCTTTCACCCTATGCCCCTGTTACCTAGCAGTAAAATAGGTACCTGGGTGTTAGTTAGCTGTCACGGGCTGCTTCCTGGGGGTGGAGGCCTGGTCGAGGACCGGGCCGCGGGGACACTAAAGCCCCGAAATCATCTCAAGATAACCTCAAGATAACGACATCCCTATAAAGCTCAAAATAACCCTATCATGCACAAGACAACTTTATTTTGCTTAAGACACCCAAATCATGCTCAGGACACCCGTATCAGGCTCAAGACAACCCTATCATGCTCAAGACAATCTTTTCTTGCTCAAAACAACCCTGTCATGCTCAAAACAACCCTATCATGCTCAAGACATTCATATCATGCTCAAGACATCCCTATAATGGCCAAAACAACCCTATCATAATCAAAACAACCATATCATGCTTAAAACAACTCTCTCATGCTCGAAACAACCCTCTCATGCTCAAAACAACCCTATCATTGCAAAGACAACCCAATCATGCTCAAAAACTTCTATTATGCTCAAGACAACCCTATACTGCTCAAAACAACCCTATCAAGCTCAAGATATTCCTTTAATTCCGTAGACAACTCTATCATTGTTAAAGATATCACTATGATGCTGAAGAGTAATAGGGTTAGTCAACCCCTAACATGCTCAAAATAACCCTATTATGCTCAAGACAGCCATATCATACTTAGGGCTACCCTATCAGGCACAAAACAGCCCTATCTTGCTCAAAACAACCCAATCATGCTCCAGACAACCCTATCATGCTCAAAACAATCATATTTTACTCATGACAGTTCTTTCATGCTCAACACAACCCTATCATGCTCAAAATAGCCCTATTAGGCTTTAAATAACCCTATCAAGCTCATGACAACCATATCATGCTCAAAACAATCATATTATACTCATGACAGTTCTATCATACTCATGACAACCCTACAATGCTCAAGACAACCCTGTCATGCACAAGAGGATCCTAATATGCTTAAAACAACAATAAAATACTCGTGAAAACCCTATTATGCTCAAGACAACCCGATATTGGTCAAGACAACCATATCATTCTCAAGACAACACTATCATGTTGAAGACAACAATATCATGCCCAGGACAACCTTAACAGGCTCAACACAACCCTATCATGACAACTCTATCATGCTCAAAACAACCATATCATTGTCATGACAACGATATCATCCTCAAGAAAACCCTCCAATGCTCAAGACAACCCTATCATGCTTAAGAGGACCTTATTATGCTCAAAATAACGATACCATACTCATGACAACGCTATCATGCTCAAGACAACCCAATAATTGTCAAAACAACCCTATCATGCCCAGGACAACCCTAAAATGCTCAAGACAACCCAATCATGCTCTAGAGGACCTATTCATGCTCAAAACAACCATATCATCTTCATTAAAATGCTATCATGCTCAAGACAACCCTATAATGCTCAAGTTAACCCTATCATACTCAAAACAACCCTATCAGACTCAAAATCACATTTATTCTTAATCACAATTTTATTCATGACAACCCTACCATACTCAAGACAAACCAATCATACTCAAGAGGACCCCTATCATGCTTAAAACAACCATATCATACTCATGACAACCATATTATACTGATGACAACTATATTATGCTTAAGACAATCCAATCATGCTCAAAACAACCCAACGATCCTCAGAACAACCCTGTCATGCTAAAGACAACCCAGTCATGCTCAAGTCAACCCTCTCATGCTCAAAACTTCTCTATATTGTTCAAGACAACCCTATCAGGCCCAGGACAATCATAAAATGCTTAAGACAACACTATCATGCTTAAGAGGACCCTATCATGCTCAAAACAACAATATGATACGCATTACAACGCTATCATGCTCAATACAACCCTATAATGCTTAAGTCAACCCTATCTTGCTCAAAACAACCCTATCAGGCTCAAAACTACCCTATCATACTCATGACAACCATACTATGCTGAAGGCAACCCTATCATGCTCAAGAGGACCCTAATATGCTAAAAACAATCATACCATACTCGTGACAACGCTATTATGCTAAAGACAACCCCATATTGCTCAAGACAACCCAATCATGCTCAAGGCAACCCAATCATGCTCAAGGCATCCCTATCATGCTCAAGAAGACCCTACCATGCTCAAAACAACAACCATAACATTCTCATGAAAACGCTATCTTTCTGAAGACAGCCCTATAATGCTCAAGATAACCCTAACATGCTCAAAACAACCCCATCAGGCTCCAAAAAAACTATCATTCTCGCGACAACCCTACCATGCTCAAGACAACCTTATCATGCTCAAAAAGACCCCTATCATGCTCAAGAGAACCCCTAACATGCTTAAAACAACTATATCATACTCATGACAACCAATCATGCTCATGACAACCCTATCATGTTCAAGGTAACCCTATCATGCTCAGAACAACACTATCATGCTCAAAACAACCCTATCATACTCATGAAAACCCTATCATGCTCAAGAAAACCCTATCATGCTTAAGACAACTCAATAAGGCTCAGAACAAACCTGTCATGCTAAAGACACCCCTGTCATGCTCAAAACAAAACTATCATGCTCAAGATAACTCTATCATGCCCAAAACATCTCTATAATAAAATCCACTGCGGGCTCACAATAGCCCGTGCAACTTGGAACTTTTTATTCCAGGTTGCGAATCTTAAAAAACAACAAAAACATATCTATAATGCTCAAGACACCCTTATCATGCCCAAGACAAGCATAAAAGGTTCAAGACATTCCTATCATGTTCAAGAGGACCCTATCATGCTCAAAATAACCCTATCAGGCTCAAAACAATCCTCTCATTCTCATGACAACCTTACCATGCTCAAGACAACCCTATCATGCTCAAGAAAACCCCTATCATGCTTAAAACAACCATATCATACTCAAGACAACCCTATTATGCTCAAGACAACCCCTATAATGCTCAAGACTATCTTATTAAGCTCATGACAACCCTATTATGCTCAAGACAGCCATATCATGCTTAGGACAACCCTCTCAGGCTAAAAACAACACTATCTTGCTCAAAATAACTCTATCATGCTCAAGACAATCTTATCATCTTCAAGACATCCCTATCATGCTCATCACAACGCCATCAAGCTCAAAACAACCATATCATACTCATGACAACGCTATCATGCTCAAGACAGCCCTATAATGCTCAAGACAACCCAATCATGCTCAAGACAACCCATATCATGCTCAATACAACCCTATAATGCTCAAGACAACCCTCTCATGTTGAAAACTAACCAATCAGGCTCAAAACAACCTTATCATACTCATGAAAACCCTACTATGTTCAAGACAACTCTATCATGCTCAAGAGGATACTAATATGCTTAAAACAATTACATATTATTCAAGACCACCCTATTATGTTCATTACAAACCCATATTGCTCAAGAAAACCCTATCATGCTCAAAACAATCCTATAATGCTCAAAACAAACCTATCATGCCCAGGACAACCCTTTTATTCTCAAGACAGCCATATCATGCTTAGGACAACCCAATCAGGCTCAAAATAACCCTATCAACTCAGGGAGCCGGTCGGCCAAGCGGACATCAAGCTGGTCTTGTGATCCTGTGGTCCTGGGTTCGATCCCAGGTGCCGGCGAGAAACAGTGAGCAGAGTTTCTTTCACCCTATGCCCCTGTTACCTAGCAGTAAAATAGGTACCTGGGTGTTAGTCAGCTGTCACGGGTTGCTTCCTGGGGGTGGAGGCCTGGTCGAGAACCGGGCCGCGGGGACACTAAAATAAAGCCCCGAAATCATCTCAAGATAACCTCAAGAAGATCATGCTCACGACAACCCTATCATGCTCAAAACAACCATATCAAACTCATGGAAAACCATGTCATACTCATGACAACCCTTTCATGCTGAAGACAACCCTAAATTGCTCTAGACAAACCTTTCGTGCTCTAGACAACCCTTTCATGCTCAAGACAACCCTATCATATTCAGGACAACCCTATCATGCTCAATACAACCCTGTCATTCTCAAGACAACCCTATCATGCTCAAAACTACTCTATAATGCTCAGGACAAACCTATCATGTTCAAGAGTACCCTGTCAGGCTCAGAACAACCCTATTATACACATGACAACCCTAGTAAGCTCTAGACAACCGTATCATTCTCAAAACAACCGCATCATTCTCAAAAGAACCCTATCATGCTCAAGACAACCCTATCATGCTCAAAACAACTCTATAAGGCTCCAGACAACCCTATCATGCTTAGGACACCCCTATCATGCTCAAGACAATCCTATCATGCTGAAAACAACCCTATCATGCTCAAGACAACCCTATCATGTTCAAGAAAACCTTATCATGGTCGAAACAACCCTATCATGCACCAGGCAGCTGTGTCATGCACGAGGCAACGATGTCATGATAAATTGTTATGACAATGAGAATATTGATCTTATGTTTCTGTATTCGCCATTCCTTACCTTGCGCTGATTTCGGGGATCCACGTCCCTGCGGCCCGGTCTCTAACCAGACATCCTGGTTGCTGGACTAGTGAACCAGGCTATTGGTGGCGGCTGCTCGCAGCCTGATGTATATATCACAGCCTGGTTTATAACACTCACCAGGAGCACTCACTTCCCACTGTACCATGATGAGCCTCAATGTGTCCAGTAAGGTAGAGTGTGTAAGGTGGGGAACGCTGTGAGACGTCCATCCTGGAACAACATGTAGTCGTGTGTGTAATGTCCACATAGTCGTCCTGGGAGAAAAAATGAGATGTGTAATATGGTGGGATGGGCTTCTTGTTGAGGGAGCGTGAGGTATATAAGGGCTGTGAGCCTCACCACTCACACTACACCAGCACACACCCGCCAGCATGGCCAAGCTTCTCCTACTCCTCCTGACTGTGAGTATTAGTCTAACTTCTCATTAATGTCATCGTCTAAAACTGAAGTTAAAGTTTGATGTGAACTCTTAAAACAATCATTTACGTAACTTTTTCGTTACGCTTCTAGCTGTAAATTGTTGTACATTAACTTTAAAATGATCTGCTTCACAATGAAAGTTTACTTTGCAGGAAAGATGTGGGAAACTTCGTATTAAATTAAATATATTCCTACCATAGCTACACACACTGAACACTTAGCATAGCTACACATACCGAACACTTAGCATAGCTACACATACCGAACACTTAGCATAGCTACACATACCGAACACTTAGCATAGCTACACATACCGAACACTTAGCATAGCTACACATACCGAACACTTAGCATAGCTACACATACCGAACACTTAGCATAGCTACACATACCGAACACTTAGCATAGCTACACATACCGAACACTTAGCATAGCTACACATACCGAACACTTAGCATAGCTACACATACCGAACACTTAACATAGCTACACATGCCGAACACTTATCATAGCTCCATATGCCGAACACTTAACATAGCTACACATGTCGAACACTTAACATAGCTACACATGCCGAACACTTAACATAGCTACACATGTCGAGCATGTGAAATTTAAAAATTCAATTATAAGTGCTTCGCTACGATTAGTTTTGACGTCCTCAGACAGAATAATTCGTTTACATTCATTAACACTACATGTAAAAGTTAAAATTTTTGGAATAAGAATGCCTTGAGGCTTGTGTGTAATTAGGAAAACATAATTAAGTGCAACCCTCAAGTCTGGAATAAGATTGCCTAAAAATTGCACTTAATCACGAAATTACTTTACACTTTCATGCGGCCGGCGTACAAGGAAAAAAGTTAGCGCTATGTGCTCTCGGTGTTTGCGGGCGATCGAGCGGAAACACTGAAAAGTGTATACTCTTTTCACTGTCCTGATCTTAATTTTCGATGTACAGATTTCATTTCTTTGCCAATGTGTTCGGAATAGAATGTTCTAGAAGAACATATGTATAAAATGTCACCAAACTGTGATTTGAACCACTACCAATAATGCATTTGTTTTATATAGCGGATTTGAACACGAATCTCATTTTGCACAAAGATCATTGAGAGATTTGATTCAAAGTTGATACAAACGTGCACCAGCCTGGGTCAGAACAATGTTTATTTTTTGTTTTGGGGTTTAGCTTCAAAATAAAAATTTTAATTTGTACTATTGTACTACTATAGCTATTGTACTATTACTACTATGAGCCGGTGGCTGAGCGGACAGAACACTGGATGCGTGATCCTGTGGTCCCGGGTTCGATCCCGGGCACCGGCGAGAAACGATGGGCAGAGTTTCTTTCACCCTGATGCTCCTGTTACCTAGCAGTAAATAGGTACCTGGGAGTTAGTCAGCTGTCACGGGCTGCTTCCTGGGGGTGGAGGCCTGGTCGAGGACCGGGCCGCGGGGACACTAAAACCCCGAAATCATCTCAAGATAACATCAAGAAGATACTGAACAATGTAATTTTTATTACATTGTTTAGTAGCTTGTAAGAAGATGTTAAGTTTCGTGCAGTCTTTGAGTGGTCTTAGACACATGTGTACTATTGTACTACTGGCAGTTAAGAAGATAATTGACGGTATATAAGAGTCCGGTGTACATCAGGGAATGAGACATCACGGTAATACCCCTCCCCCCCTGTCCACCCCCGGGCATGTAAACAGTGAGAGGTGTAACCCGCTTCTTGGTGTATACTCCCAATTTTTACACAAGTCGTAGACTGTTCAGGACTAGAGTATTCTTGCTTGTTAGTCAGCAAGATGTTGTTGCTGCCTTAATAAACTTCCATATTATGATAGGCATTAAGCCCAAGACCAGACTTCTTACGGGATGAACTTCTCGGTGTGTCCAGCCTCTCGGTGTACAAACATTAAGTCCTGGACAATGTTCATTGCCAGCCCATCCTCCTGTTTTGATAGTAATTATAGGAAGGATAAGATACATATACCGACTTACAACGGAATTAGAAAATAGAAATCGGTACTATGAAATACAAACCGGAAAACGATTTTCTACTTATGTTGCAAAGACAAATTAAACTAACCAAACCTTACCTTCCACGGCCTAATACACACTATCTGAGATTTAATATAGTTCATATGTGTACTATACTATGCATAGGAAATTTAAAGTTTGTTTTTTGCTTAATTTTTATCGGACTATATAAAGTGAATAGTACTATCGAATTGCTCAGTACGTCAATAATTGTACTATGGTGCACACAGTTACAGAAAAGTACTATCTATGCTAGAAGATGGGTTGTCATTGTTCATAACCAATGTATTTTTGCAGGTTGGTCAGTAAGCAACTGTGGGAGGCCTTAATAATGCTACAGAGGCTGGAAGGTTTTAACTTCAGCACCAAACAAATTCCTTTATGATATTTGAATATATACAATATATATGCAGCGAATATACACAAAAAATATATTTAATGCAGGAGAATGTTTATGACTAAAGTATACTTACAAATTTTGAGTCTGTGATCAATGTTTCCGGCCACTATTTTACGTTAATACTTCTGTAATTTATATTATTATATCAATTAAACATATTATTTTACTGTTATGAATTACTGTTATTAGTTCTTATTAGTGTGAACTATTTTCCCCTTGACTGCAGGTTGGGACGTGCTGCTGGGCTCAGCTCCTCGTCAGTCCTCCCTCACGCAACTGCCATGAGTTGGTGAGTGTCTACGTCTCTCATTTACATTTTCTGAGCCACAACGACCTTTCCCTGTCTCCCAGTCCTCCCCACCATCCCCCCCCCTCAATCATCCCCTTGTCCTCCCAATCATTCCTCACTCCTCATCATTTTGTCCGCCCCACATTCCCCCACTCCCCTGTCACCTTGTCCTCCCCATCATTACCTATTCTCCTGTCCCCTCGTCCCCCCATCCCCAACTCTCCCATCCCTTCGTCCTCCCCACCATTACCCCCCTCCCTTCTCCTCTCGTCCTCCCCAACAAACCCCACTTCCGTCCCCTCGTCTTCCCCACCATTCCCCACTCCCTCGTCCGATGCATTTCGAAATGATCTGATGTTTCCATCAGAAAATTGGAAACATCAAATGATCTGATGTTCCCATCAATGAAATATAAGAAAAACAGTTAAAAAACGAAATGGAAAACAATGAAAAAATAAAAAATATACTACATTTTTCTCACAAAATCAAGATCTCACAAAATGAACGGTATGGTAAACATCACAGCTCAATTCCAACACAATGTCACTCAAAATAATTAAATCAAAATGAAAATAAATCGAAATCCTGGAAAATTCAGTTTGTCAATGCAATCTGAAACATTGAAATGGAAATGTTACATAAGTAGTATAGCATGTGTTGCTCTTACGTGCAACAGATGGTGCTGTTTCTTAAAAAAAAAAATGTTTCTTAAAAATTAAAAAAAAAAAAATGTCAATCAACTAATGTAGAGGTTCCTGAGACTTCTGGACTCTATCATATCTACACTTGAAGCTGTGTATGGAGTCAGCATCCACTACATCAGTTCCTAATGCATTCCATTTGTCTACTACTCTGACAATGAAAAAATTCTTTCTAACATCTCTATGGCTCATTTGGGCACTCAATTTCCACCTGTGTCCCTTAGTGCATGTGCCCCCCTGTGTTAAATAATCTGTCTTTATCTACCCTATCAATTCCTCTGAGAATCTTGTATGTTGTGATCATGTCCCCTCTAACTCTACTGTCTCCCAGTGATGTAAGGTTTAATTCCGGTAGTCTCTCCTCTTAGCTCATACCCCTCAGTTCGGGTACTAGTCTGGTGGCAAACCTTTGAACCTTTTCCAGGTTAGTCTTATGGTTGACTAGATATGGACGCCATGCTGGAGCCTCATACTCCAGGATTGGGCTGACATATGTGGTATATAACTTTCTGAAAGATTCCTTACACAAGTTTCTATAGGAGGTTCTCATGTTAGCTAACCTGGCATATGCCGCTGATGTTATCCTCTTGATATGAGCTTCAGGGGACAGGTCTGGCGTGATATCAACCCTCAGTTCTTTCTCTCTCTCTCTCTGACTCTTGCAGTATTTCATCTCCCAAATTATACCTTGTATCTGGTCTCCTGCTCCCTACACCTATCTTCATTTCATTACATTTGCTTGGGTTAAACTCAAACAACAGCTTGTTCGACCATTTCTTCAGTTTGTCTAGGTCTTCTTGAAGCCTCAAGCAGTCCTCCTCTGCCTTAATCCTTCTCATAATTTTGGCGTCGTCAGCAAACATTGAGAGGAATGAGTCTGTTCCCTCTGGGAGATCATTTACCTATATCAGATACAGGATAGATCCGAGTACAGATCCCTGTGGGACTCCACTGGTGGTGGTAGTGGTGGTGGTTGTGTGTGTGTGTGTGTGTGTGTGTGTATGTGTGTGTGTGTGTGTGTGTGTGTGTGTGTGTGTGTGTGTGTGTGTGTGTGTGTGTGTGTGTGTGTGTGTGTGTGTGTGTGTGTTTGTGTGTGGTGTGTGTGTGTGTGTGTGTACTCACCTAGTTGTACTCACCTGTGGTGATTGCGGGGGTTGAGCTCTGGCTCTTTGGTCCCGCCTCTCAACCGTCAATCAACAGGTGTACAGGTTCCTGAGCCTACTGGGCTCCATCATATCTTCACTTGAAACTGTGTATGGAGTCAGCCTCCACCACATCACTTCCTAATACATTCCATTTGTCAACAACTCTGACACTAAAAAAGTTCTTTCTAATATCTCTGTGGCTCATTTGGGCCATAGAGTGTGTGTGTGTGTGTATGTGTATGTGTATGTGTGTGTGTGTGTGTGTGTGTGTGTGTGTGTGTGTGTGTGTGTGTGTGTGTGTGTGTGTGTGTGTGTGTGTGTGTGTGTGTGTGTGTGTGTGTGTGTGTGTGTGTGTGTGTTTACTAGTTGTGTTTTTGCGGGGGTTGAGCTTTGCTCTTTCGGCCCGCCTCTCAACTGTCAATCAACTGTTTACTAACTTTTTTTTTTTTTTTTTTTTTTTTTTTTTTCACACCACACACACACACACCCCAGGAAGCAGCCCGTGACAGCTGACTAACTCCCAGGTACCTATTTACTGCTAGGTAACAGGGGCACTTAGGGTGAAAGAAACTTTGCCCATTTGTTTCTGCCTCGTGCGGGAATCGAACCCGCGCCACAGAATTACGAGTCCTGCGCGCTATCCACGAGGCTACGAGGCCCCACTTGTGCGTGCGTGTGTGTGTGTGTGTGTGTACTCACCCAATTGTACTCCCCTAATTGTGCTTGCAGGAGTTGAGCTTTGGCTCTTTGGTCCCGCCTCTCAACCGTCAATCAACTGGTGTACAGATTCCTGAGCCTACTGGGCTCTATCATATCTACATTTGAAACTGTGTATGGAGTCAGCCTCCACCACATCACTTCCTAGTGCATTCCATTTACTAACTACTCTGACACTGAAAAAGTTCTTTCTAACGTCTCTGTGGCTCATATGGGTACTCAGCTTCCACCTGTGTCCCCTTGTTCGCGTCCCACCAGTGTTGAATAGTTCATCATTGTTTACCCGGTCGATTCCCCTGAGGATTTTGTAGGTTGTGATCATGACCCCCCTTACTCTTCTTTCTTCCAGTGTCGTAAGGTGCATTTCCCGCAGCCTTTCCTCATAACTCATGCCTCTTAGTTCTGGGACTAGTCTAGTAGCATACCTTGGGACTTTTTCCAGCTTCGTCTTGTGCTTGACAAGGTACGGGCTCCATGCTGGGGCCGCATACTCCAGGATTGGTCTTACATATGTGGTGTACAAGATTCTGAATGATTCCTTACACAGGTTCCTGAACGCCGTTCTGATGTTAGCCAGCCTCGCATATGCCGCAGACGTTATTCTCTTTATGTGGGCTTCAGGAGACAGGTTTGGTGTGATATCAACTCCTAGATCTTTCTCTCTGTCTGTTTTTTTTTTTTTTTTTGAGATATATACCAGAGTTGTTACATTCTTGTACAGCCACTAGTACGCGTAGCGTTTCGGGCAGGTCCTTAATCCTATGGTCCCTGGAATACGATCCCCTGCCGCGAAGAATCGTTTTTTCATCCAAGTACACATTTTACTGTTGCGTTAAACAGAGGCTACAGTTAAGGAATTGCGCCCAGTAAATCCTCCCCGGCCAGGATACGAACCCATGACATAGCGCTCGCGGAACGCCAGGCGAGTGTCTTACCACTACACCACGGAGACTGCAAACAGTTTCATTAAGTACTTCATCTCCTATTCTGTATCCTGTGCCTGGCCTCCTGTTTCCACTGCCTAGTTTCATTACTTTGCATTTACTCGGGTTGAACTTCAGCAGCCATTTGTTGGACCATTCACTCAGTCTATCCAGGTCATCTTGTAGCCTCCTACTATCATCCTCTGTTTCAATCCTCCTCGTAATTTTTGCATCGTTGGCAAACATTGAGAGGAACGAATCTATACCCTCTGGGAGATCATTTACATTTACCAGAAACAGTATAGGTCCAAGGACTGACCCCTGCGGGACTCCACTTGTGACGTCTCGCCAATCTGAGACCTCACCCCTCACACAGACTCGTTGTCTCCTGTTGCTTAGGTACTCCTCTATCCACCGGAGTACCTTCCCTTTCACTCCAGCCTGCATCTCCAACTTTCACACTAGCCTCTTGTGTGGCACTGTATCAAAGGCTTTCTGACAATCCAAAAATATGCAGGCTGCCCACCCTTCTCTTTCTTGCCTTATTTTTGTTGCCTGGTCGTAGAATTCAAGTAACCCTGTGAGGCAGGACCTGCCATCCCTGAACCCATGTTGATGCTGTGTTACAAAGTTCCTTCGCTCCAGATGCTCCACTAGTTTTTTTCGCACAATCTTCTCCATCAGCTTGCATGGTATGCAGGTTAGGGACACTGGCCTGTAGTTCAGTGCCTCCTGTCTATCCCCTTTCTTGTATATCGGGACTACGTTAGCTGCTTTCCAAATATCTGGCAGTTCCCCTGTTGCCAGTGATTTGTTATACACTATGGAGAGTGGTAGGCACAGTTCTCTTGCTCCTTCCTTTAGAACCCAAGGGGAGATTCCATCTGGGCCTATAGCCTTCGTCACATCCAACTCTAGTAAACACTTCCTTACTTCCCCGCTGGTAATCTCAAACTCTTCCAGTGGTTCCTGGTTAGCTATTCCCTCACTTACCTCTGGAATTTCTCCTTGCTCTAAGGTGAAGACCTCCTGGACCTCCTGTTTGTGTGTGTGTGTGTTTGTGTGTATACTCACCTAGTTGTATTAACCTAGTTATGGTTACGGGGGTTGAACTCTGGCTCTTTGGTCCCGCTTCTCAACTGTCAATCAACTGGTGTACAGATTCCTGAGCTTACTGGGCTCTATCATATCTACATTTGAAACTGTGTATGGAATCAGCCTCCACCACATTACTGCCTAATGCATTCCATCTGTTAACTACTCTGTCACTGAAAAAGTTCTTTCTGACGTCCCTGTGGCTCATTTGGATACTCTGTTTCCACCTGTGTCTCCTTGTACGCGTACCACCCGTGCTAAACTGTTTATCTTTATCTACCCTGTCAATTCCTCTGAGAATTTTGTAGGTTGTGATCATGTCTCCCCTTACTCTTCTATTTTCCAGTGTTGCGAGGTGCATTACCCGCAGCCTTTCCTTGTAACTCATGCCTCTTAGTTCTGGGACTAGCCTAGTGGCA